CTGGATCTTGTCTGTTGTAGACTTTAAAGCTACATAGATAATCTTGGATAGGCTGAGAAAGTACCTGCAATACCTCCATTGTGTTAGACATGAAGTAACTGCTAAATGATAAACTGGGGACTACAAGTTTCAGAGTAATGCCAATTGACCAAATCATAAGTAGGTGTTTCATTACATGGCTACATTTCCAATATGTATCAATCCATCTCTGTGAGAATTATAGACTAATTTGGATGTTTTTCATCATTTTTAAGTAGTATGAAGTACACAGTGGGGATTGGTTCAAAACATGGATCTATATGTAGCTGAACATATATATTTGTAGGACCCTAAAGATACATTAAAAAATATATCTTCTGATCTGTATTAAAACTATGTACTTCCAAAAACATGCATTTATGGTGCAAGCAGAGCAGGGAATGGGGAAGTATTTTGCATTGCAATATGTAATATCCACAGGATGATATGTATTTTATTGCAGTAGCATTGATGACAAACTAAGTGAAAAGAATCAAAGAACAGGAAATAAGTCAGGAGAAAAAAAAATCTGAATGCTTCAAAGACTGCAAAGGAACTGAGACAGATGTATCTATTTTCAGAAAATAACTTTCTGATCATCTGCCTTTTCACATTCAGTGAATTTAATTGCCTTTATCACTGCTTCAGTGATTTTTTTCCAGAAAGAATGCTTTTTAGCCCTATTTAGTGTCTTGGTTGTGGAGTGACTTTATTTCATGACTACAACTTTAAAAAAAAGAAATTAAAAGGAAACCAACAGTAGAACAGTTGAAGCCTATCAAATCATCTGAGCGTGTAAGTTTTAGCAGGAATGCAGAATGTTTGGAACTTCCTTTCTTTCTACACTGGGGGAGGCTGAGGAGTCTTACAGTCCCTAAACTTATCATTTCCTTTTGAATTTGAAATTCTGAAGGAAATGAATTTTTCATTAAAACAAGTACAAAATATGTAAATAGGTAACTGGCTGTTGGTAAGAGGAAGTTATTAAGCTTAGCACACTGCTCTTCTTTATTTGTATATGTAGCTTTTTTTTAGTAATAGTGTGTTTTGTGTTCTAAGTCTTCAATATATAGTTAAAATGCCTTAAACAGCTTCTGTGAAAATCGCCAGGAATTGATGAGGGGTTCCCTGCACAGGACACAGTGTCTGCTTGGCTGCAGTAGCTCAGCTAACTGCCAGGAGCAAACATAAACTACTGATCAGGCATCTCAGAAGCAACTTGGTTAAACGCAGTTTGCGCAATAGCTAAATGCGAGATGAAAATAAGCATTTTACTCTGGCTCATCAAATTTCAAGGGAAAAAGAAAATGTTTTCTCATTTGTCCTTTTTTCCTGTTATCAGAAATTTTGATTTCTAACCACCAACTTACTCCACATTATGAATGACCAGACTAACCTCTTTACGAGGTGCTCAGTCTGAACATTTGAAGTTCAGCACTGCCAAGTTTATCTGCCATGTGCATCCAGTGCCTCTTTCCCTTCTCTTTGAAATCTTCTTATTAGTCAAGCATACTCAAGAGTGTTGGCTTATTCAGACTTTTTTGTTCTTTCACAGCCTAACCAAACAGTGTCTTAATCCAGCTTGCCTTTTCCAATTAATGTCTCTTCCCTCTCTGTCTTTTTTTTTCCTTAACTGTATCAGATCACAACTCAGTTTTTGAAATTTGCTTCTGTTTGACTTCTCTGACAGTCAAACATACTACAGTCTCCATTAACTGAAAATTAGTATCTTGAAATTAAAAAGCAAGTATAACGTCCTAACGCTAGAAATTCTGAAATGTACTTAGTGGGATACAACAGGAAAGGTATCATGTAAAAATGGGAAAAAGAAGATTCTTCCTCAAGTACTTAGAAGTGTAGATAAAGCCTGTTAGGAAAATGTAAAGTACTTTTTTATTTAGCAACTGCATTTTCTGCCTTTTGATACAGAAGAGTGTTTCCTCCAACTTTCCTGTTTATTTTAATTTCTAGATGCTCACTTAGCAGTAAAGAAGTTTTAAAGAGCAGTCACTCCTGTTCATTAAGCCTATGCTCATTATTCTCACCTATAATGTAGTTATCTATTGTGTACAACTGAGGGACGTAGAGTGAAGATGACCAACAACTTGACCAATAAAGCTAGCTTGTGTTAAAGCTCTGCTTCAGCTCTTGTGACAAGCAGGTGTGCTCTGAGTCATGAACTGCTGTGAAAGCAAAATGCACAAGTCTGCCAGAGGAGATTGTTCTTCTTTTCTCTAATATTAGCCCTTGTAGAATAGGGCAGAGCATGTGATCAGAGTTGGTCCTGTAACTCAGGCTGTCCCCAGAAATGCACCAGTGCTTCCCAGAAGAACTGTCTTGATTATTTTGTGTTACATAGGTTTTGTAACTTTTTTTTTTTAATTGGATTAAGGGTTGGGTTTTTTTAAGTGACTAGTTTATGTAGCTGAAGTTCATCTTATGTGATAATATTGGAAAACTGTTGCGGAGATAAATTTGTAGCATTTATTAACATCTACAACAAAGTCCAATTACTTTGCCATCAGTTAATTTGCATGTCACGTCTGTACTTATCAAATTGAGTTTGTGCTCCAGCAAGACTGGACAACCTTGCTTGATGTTCTTGGGCTGAAAAAGCTTTTCATTTATATGCCATCTGAATTTCTCTTGTTTCAAATTATGCAAGTTATCCCTTGTGCTCCTGACAATGACAGAAAGACATTTTCTAACACAAGCGTTCAGATTATCCCATGGCTGTTTCTTTTGAGAGCATATTCTCATTATTTGGTAGACAGTAAAGTGGATTGGTTAATCCTGAAGTACTCATTTTCTGATGTGTCTGAGATGTTCTAAATTATGTCAAACGTTAAGCAAGAATTATCTTACTTTCTGCATAGCTGTTAAATGTCAAGTTTTAAGTATCTGTTAACGATTTCTGGATTTGAAGGGGTATTTTATATCGTAGTTTTGAAATTTAGGGCTGGATCACTCTTCCCAAGAAGAGCTTTGAGGTGGCATAGCAATGCAGCTTTGGTGCAGGTGCTTGTGCATGCAGGTGTCACTAGAAGTTAAATGTATGTGAAAATTATTAATTTATTGCAGATGCTGTCTATTGCTTTCTACATAATAGTAATAAATAGATAATAAATAATAGCAACGTTGCTAAATATTTGCTCTTTGGGCCTTTGATATCCCTGCTATATTTGCAGAGGGAACATTCAAAGTAGTATTAAGAAGAAAATTGGTTTCTTGGATCTTATTTGTAGTAAGTATTGCCTTACACAAAAAGAAAAGATCAAATTTGCTTTTGAAGCAATTTCAGTAATGGAAGGAGAATAACAAAACTTACTTAAAGCACCAAAACTGGAAGAAATAATGCTGAAAGAAAGAAGGCTTAAGTGAGTACAAGTAAAGTACAAATAAAGAGTACAAATGTGAGTACAAATAAAGAAATTTGACATAATAAGTGTGCCACCAGCTAGTAGTAAGAAATGTACAGGCTGCAACTTAATTGTGTAGTTCTCATTCCTCTAGCTGTGGAACTGTGTGTTCACATTTTCCTTCAGATACCTGAAAAAAATTGCTTTTATTTAAAAGAAAGTGTAAACTCTGGACAATAGAAGTATAGTAAACAAGGAGGATGTGGCTGCAGAGTAATGATATGTTCAAAGAAAGGAGACACCGAATAATAGCCAGATTGTTTCTACCTTTAAAAATTGCCTCGTTACAAGACAAAAGTAGATCATTAAAGGGGAATCCTATGTTCTGTTACACTTTTTCTAAGGAAATAAACTATTATAAAATTCTCCTAAGCAAGTCATGTAAAACAGTACCTGGACATGATTATATGTATTGCAAATCTAGGGAGCGTTAGCAGAAGGTGCTTTTCAAACATTTAACAAACATTATGGTTTGTGGCCATCTAGTGGTGAATCTTTTTTAGGTATACTGACATCATGCAGAATTTTGTTTAACTGAGCCTCTAGCTTTACTATCCAAACTGAATTATAAAAAAAAAAAGTAATTCCCTGTAGCTCTTTCTTTCTGTTTCGAACAAGTCATTTTTTACAAGAGGATAATTTCCATTTTCTTTCTTTTTCTTCATCTTCAAGATGAAACAATTTTTGATGTTGCAGTTCTTTTCTGGCAGCTAGCTTTAATGTAAATTTTTTAAATGGTAGATTTTCAAGATGCAAAATATTCTGTTAAGTGTCTTTGAAGAATACGTAAATTCTGAAAGCAGTGATTATTCCTTAATATCTTTGACTCACATGAAATTTGACAGACAGTATACTGCCTGTCCTGCTTAACTCCATTTCATGAAATTGCCTTGGTGAAAGTTAAAACATACCTAACTGTTTCTAGGATTTTTCTCTATGAGCAATGGTTTCAAATGTTGTGGGGAAATTATTTCTCTCGAACAGTAGAATTGCTGTAAGCATCAGTTCAGTATAGCAGAACCATGGCAAGGCACATATTGAACGAGATTATTCTGCATGGTTTGTGAGATCTGGTTAACTTCTGATGTCTACTAAATTCCCAAGAAATGAAAAACTGAGATTTTTGTTTATATTCAGTAATGCAACGAGAGTGTTAGTGGCAAATGTAACCGTTTAGATTTGTTTTCTCTAGCTCATGACAAAATTCTGAAAATGTGGTAGGTTTTAGTTATTGATTTTTTCATTGACTGGGAAATGGATTCTGCAATAATTTTGTCTTCACCATTTGTTTCTTTCATCGGTGTCATTTTTCATTTGTGACTATTCCAGCTAGCAGTTCCCTAAATTTTCAGTGTTGATGTACACTTCTGCTCTTTCTTTTTTTCCATTGCAGTAAACATTTCTTCTGTTCAATCTGCTGATTTCACCAGGATGTCAGATAAGCATAATACAACAAAAATACATGAACTCACTATCCAGCATGCCACCATCCATCCATTAACATCGAACATAATATCAGGATGGTATTGAGTTAATGTGTGTAATGGTTTGTTTCATTTTCAGGTATTTGGAGTGGATGACAGCCAGGATTATAATAGGCCTGTTATCAACGAGAACCAGAAAGATTTAGTAAAAGATTGGGCTATAAATTCTACTACAGTAGTGCTGGAAGAAAAAAGACCACTGAGTACAACTGGATTTCTTGACACAGAGGTAGAATTTAATTTTTGATGGTCTTCCTTTTTCTTCCAATAAGACAGAGCACTAATAGTTGACCAATAAGTATTAAACAGCAAACAAAGCTTTTCCTAGAAAATATTGGCTCAGATCTATAAGTTTATTTTTCTTTGTTCTTTATTGTATTACTGAAATTTCTGTGTCCCAGTTTCCCAAGTTAAATTGGGAAGGTATTAAAATTCAGAAATATGTTACATGCATTCAGTGAGGGAGAGAAAGCCAGCTAGGAAAAAAATGGTGGATGAATAGAAAAATGTTTCAATTATTCTTGGTTACAAAGCAGGAGGTTTTTGCATTCAAGGTTTCAGTTCTCAAGTGAGATGCTACTCATGAGAAGTCACATATGTTATTTGCCTGAGAGGCAGTATAATTTAATCAGTTGATGAAAGATAAGGTAAAGGAAAGTGTCTCTCCTTCTATATGACTCAGAATATGCACATGAGCTACATGTTAATTATATTGTGTGAAATCCTGGGATACTGATGTATTGGTGGATGATAAACTGTAATCTGAAATGTGTCAGAACGGGCTCAAACTGGAACAGAATTGATCTGATAGTGAAACACACCACATTTATTCCACTGGATGTATCAAACTGTAAATAAGAAAACTTTCTGGAATATATCGAGAGCTTTAAGTATGAGTATCTGCCTGCCATGTCAATACACTTGTTTTGGTATCTTGACTTGTGCTTTCCATAGAAAAAGCATTCTTCGTAGTTTTTGCCTTTGAGGTACTGCACAATGCTGAGATGCTGGATATACAACTCTGTTTAGATTAGTTTCTTTGAGTAGTTTTTCTAGGGTTACTGCTTCAAGGAAATTATAATCTTACCAGGGTGGTTGTGATCTATAGAAGAATTTGACAAAGTTTGCCTTTCACCATGCTTCTTTGAGTTATCTGTAAATTAAACTGGACTATCTTCTTTTTTATGCCTTTTTGCTCCTTTAAACCTAGTGAGTTTTCAAGAAATTAAAAGTATTGATTTGTTTCTATTTCTGTTGGGAGTTTTTGGTTTGTTTTTTTTTTGTTTTGCTTTTGTAAACAGCAGTAGGATATACGATTAATTTTATAACCATAATTGTGCTTTACACATTGCAGGGATTGATTTGAGAGGACTTCTGCAATCATAGGACAAATTTAAGAACTCTTGTGGCAATGACATACAAAAACTTGCTTTGAATTAGCTTGAAATTACAAAAATGGTCACTTTTTGTTTGCTGAATAAGTAAGCCTTCGTTATGTGTTGGAGGAGGAGTGGGCTTTGTGTTGTAGTCTTAATTTCTAGGATTATTATGAGACATCATAGGGAAAAAATGAAAATTGTTTTGTATGTAAAGGAGACCAAACCATGTAGATGTAGCACAAATTAGTGTAGTAAGAGATGAGGACAAATGACAATTGGAGAAAAGCTTACCAGAGAAACGACAGAGTATGTCAGTAGATATATGGAAGAAAAAGAGAAGTTAATTCAGTAAAAGGGAGATGCCTTTTGTAGTGTCATAACAGGGAAACATCAGGAGCATAACTGTTAGTTCAGCTGGAGAAAGTCTTTTACCAAAACAGATTTTGTTATTTTTGGGAAAGGGAGAGGCAAATGTGTTTGATTCGCAAAGTACATGAACACCATATTCTCACCGTAGATGAGCTTTTCTGCTTATTCTTTTTGGAAAACTTCCTGCATTACTGAGCTGCAGATCATAAATGAATAAACCCTATTGAATGCCTTGACTAACCAGTCAGGTGACACTGGGGTAGCTCACTGTTCCAGGCTTGTTTCGTTTGCCCATCGTGGTTGTATCTATAGATATTTAGAAAAAACAGATTAAATCAGAAGATGTTTGACATTTTTTAAAAAAAAGAAAAGATTTCAATCTTGGAAGTTGGGAATGATGTCTTGGGAAATTAATAATGTTTTATAAAAGCGTTTAGGGGTTGAGAGATTGTTCTGAGCTTGGATATGTTAACTTTACAGGGCAGGTTATAAATAGCTTTGCTTTGAAGAGCATAGAATTCTTATAAAGAAGGTCTCACTTCTGATGTGACAGGCTTTGATATTTTAAAGTGGTGTATGTCAGGAGACTAGATAAAATGCAGAGTGAATGTCTTAACACAATTGCATTGAGCCTGCATGCACTTGCCTTTTCAACGATTACAGATCAGACAGTAAAAATGCTGAATCCATTTATCTAAAATATTTAAATGTTTTTATTTTCTATATTATAAGCTGCCACTTGCCAACCCAGGTAAGTGAGTTTCAAGAACAAAAGTTAAATGATAGAGAACAAAGAATAATTTTTGCTGTTGATAGATCTTCTGATTATATGAGCACACTTAATAAAATACTGCAGTCTTTTGGGCTATGATACATTCACCCGGCTCCCATTGAATTTTCAGTGACCAGTTACTGTATTCTAACCACCATTCTTAAATTGTGGATGTGATTTATCAACATTATTTTTGATGTGCTTGTTAAGGGCGTACTTTTTTTATTTTTCTATTTACAGTGTCATCAGTGCTGTTGGCTACGGTGTTCCTTGTTTTGAACACCCATTTCATGTCTTCGCTATTGAAAATAAATAAGTGCTTACATTGTGAATGCAAAATAACTTCATGTAAATATTTGCTGTATTGCTCCTTAAAGCTGGGGAAGAGCCGTGTCTATTCAGAGGCTTTTATGTCCTTTTGTTTATCTATTCTAATTACACTAATTTCATTTCCTTTTGTAGAGAAACCATTGAGTTTGAAGTTTGATATTGGCTTTTTGTTTGAAATTAGAAGCTGTGATTAAACATAGGATGATTACGTTAGCAGTGTCCTGTGGCTGTGAAAAGGCAAGCACTGGGTGATGCATTAGCAGCAGAAATGGGAAATCTTGGCACCATGATGGGAGGTGGCAGTGAATCTCCAGAACACTGGCAAGAGATTTGTTACTGTTCTTGTTTAGGAAAGGAGAATTCAAAACTAGAGAAGGAGCCAAAGAGATTTACTCGCATTATTAAGGGAATAGAGATCTACATTACAAGAACAGATTGATATAATTCATTTACTTCAGATACGTGGATGTGATTGCTGGAGTTTGCTGTGTAAGCAGAGTTAATGTAACAGAAGGAAAAAAGAGCTATTTGAGATGCGTGTCAGCGTTGTTCCATGAAGAAATGTGAAAACATTGTCTATAAGTGAAGTATAGAAACTTGGGAGGGAAAAAAAATCAGTGCTCATAGAGGAGTATGGTTCAGAAAAAGAGGGGGAGAGGGACTAAAAGACTTTCAAGATGCCTCTTAAATGTATGAAAAGATGGCATAGTCGGATATTTAGAACTTGAGGTAACTGGAATATGTATCTAAAAAAACTAATTTGGGTTCTATTTACTGAAATTTTTTTGAACTTATTTATAATGCTCTGAAATGCTAAGTAATGGGGATGCTTCTAGGCATCATATGTATGTGCTATGTCTTTTTTCAGATACACAGATGGAAGCTCTGAATCTTCAGGCTGAATAATAAATCTTCATAAATCCATGGGTATTTTTCTTGTGGATGTATCGCTCAGATTTAGTTTGAATATGTAATAAGGGAAAGCAGATTCAACACAAAGTTATAATGCTGGGTCCTCTGATGTCAGCCTGGCTTTTCTGAACGGCTGGGAAATTCCTCTTGGTCTTCAAGGGAAGACTTAAAGGACTGCTTATTGAAAGCCTATAAGATGTGTGGATTATATGGAGAAAATTTGGATAACTGGATGTGGACTTTTAATGCTTTATGAACCTTTCACATCTGGACATGTTGGATTCTATTGCTGAGCTACGTTTTGCTTATAATAAAAAACCTTTTAGTGAAGGATTAAAATATCCATTTTTTTAACTACTGGTAAAAGGAATTTCATAGCTTTGTTGTCTATGCTTGTATATATAGAAAACTGACAAAATGACACGTGCATCCACTCCTATTTAAGAATTTTTAACAGTGTAATTACCATTAATTTGCAAAATCTTCATACTTTATTAGGAAGTGATTATTTATTGGAAATCATATCAATGGAATTGCTTAGGTGATATACAAACAATTAGGGATAAGTAGAACTACCATCATATCTGATTTAGGCTGTAATTAATTGCTTTGGTAGGACAGAGAAACAAAGCAAAAAAAAAAAGTATCAGCAGTAGGAAGGCTTTTTGTTGTCAGTGCTAAATGCTGCTTGTTTTTGCATGTTTTTTGTTAAATTATTCTTTCTGGCACTCTTCCTTACATCATGTTCAGAAATGCCCATAAATAACTGAAACATGGAATTGCATTACTTCAGTGTTGTTAGATTTGAATTTTGTAACATTGTGATTCTAAGAAATGAGAATGTGGACATTTCTATTGTAGTTCATAGAGGTGATTTGATGCATCTCTGGCATAACACATTCATAACAATCTGAAATAGATTCATGATGCTTCTGTTTGCATTAATTAAAGTCGGACATATGATTAAGAGGCATTCAGGAATATAAATTCAGATCTTCTTAATTAGCTAAGTAACTTTTAATTTAAGAGGTTCTTGTACATTAAATGACACCTTTTTAGCCTTCCATTTTTGCTGAATAAATTTCATAAAATCTATAATGTTAATTCCTGATCAAAGATTAGAATCCCAGGGTGCCCAATAAATTAAACAGAAATCTACATTTTTAATATTAGTGCCAAGCAGAGCTTCAGGTAACCTCTGAAATAGTTGCTTCACATTCTCTTAAGAAGCGAGGTGTGCGTATCTTCATGTCCTTCCCATCTCTTCTGTTGATTTTGAATTGCGATTTCTGATTTGACTTGCCTATGGTTATGTAACTCCCCTAGTGCTGCAGACAGTGACTTTTCTCATTTGCAGCAATTTGGTTTTTGAGTCCCATAGATTAGACTATCTAAACTAGAAAATGTTTCAAGCCTTCAATAGGGTTCTGCTGTGTATGCACACATACGTATATCCATATTTGTCTGCTGTCTTTGGAGGAGCACGAGAAACTCTAATATAGAGAGTAAAACAGTCTTGTGTTATGTTTAGAAATCTGATTTTGGAAAATAAGTGTTTATCGTAATGTAAGAATACGGAGTAGGAATGTGGTTTGAGTTTTATTTTTACTTTTATTCATTTAAAAACTTGTCAAAGTTTCAAAAGGCTTTCCTATTGGGAAAACAAGTCAATTTTCTTTTCAGGTCAGCTGAAAAAAAAATCAGATAGCGATTGCACTGACTACCCTGTTAGCCAGTACAATGGTATAAAACAATCTTTCCTTCTTTTGTCATTTAGACTGGACAAATTATTTATCTTGCTCTTCTTTCCATCACAGATTTTTTGTTCTTTCAGTTCCTAATGCATTCTTTCCATAATGAACTAAATACAATGTATCTGGACAAGACATCTTTTAAACTGGTAAAATGTAACCCAAGTATCTTCCTGAAGCTTATTCTTAATACTTGCCCACAACCCTACCTGCAGTGTTTCTTCCCTGCTCTTCTGTTTCGAAGCAGGCATGTGTTCTCATATATTTTCTATAGATTCTGATTTTTAAAATTTCATAGCATGAAGAAATGGTGTTTATTCTATACTGACTTTGCAGCTGTATGTAGAGTTATGTTGCTGTTCTAGAAACGGTAAATCTAAAATATATTCAAGTAAACTCCTTTTTCAGTTTCCTCCAGATAGATAGTGTCTGACATTTCTATTCCAGGAAAACTTGGAATGAGAATATGATTTTATCAAACAGTTGTCATTTTTCTTTTACTGTTTTTCTTCCTTAGGAAGGTTCTACTGCCCCTGGAAGTAAACGTTGGGTATCACAGTGGGCTAGTTTGGCTGCCAATCACACGCGTCATGACCCAGATGATATCAGATTGGAGTCACCTGTTCCTGCTGCATTAGAGAACGGTAATAAAACAGTTCTTGTTGACATAATTTCTGATGAAAAAACCTCTGAAAGGGGGAGAAGAATGATCATGTACATAAATAAGCAACTTTCATACTGTTAAGACCTTATCTTCATTTGATGTTCTTACATATCTTTGAGAAGACACAATGTGAAAACTAGCTCTAGTGGTAGTGTTTTCTGACACGGCAGAAGAATGCCAAAATTAAACAATGATACTAAAGCAAACAAAGTGTAACATAAAAGAAACTTTCACTTGAATGCAGTTTGGGTTCATCTGCCTGCTATGTTTTTGGGATACTGGGGATTGAGTGTTAAACCGTCTGACCTGAAGTTTGTTATTCAGCTGTTCTTCAGCTGAAAAGTAGCATATTCCTGACACTGGAAACAAAGAAAACATACTTTATCTCCAGTGATGAACAACCGTCTGTCCTTAACTAAACTGTTCCCATCTGTGTTTTTAAGTAGTTTGTTCACTAAGGTCTACGCTCTTGGCTATGAAGGAGTTGCTTACCTTACCTATCCTCAGTTGTTTTCTTCCTCTCAGTTTCAACCTAGAAACGTTGATGCAACAAAACTTCTAATGTACTTCTAATGCTGATTTTTACATGCTGGGGTAGAAGTTACTATATCTAGCAAAGTAGTTCCATAGTTTTCTTCTGTAAATTATGAGTTAATATAGCTCTTTGTTGCCAAATTGATTTCACAAGATGTCATTTCCATGCTTTCCACATTCTGAATGCGATATGCTGTTTAGGAATTGAGAAGTAACTGTCAGCCTACTGCTAGTTATGTTTCTGTCCTGCAATTCCAGCATTTCCTCTTATTCCAGTTGACTTTGAAATTCACAACAAAGTTTAAAAGATTTTTTTAAATGGGGAAAAAATGTGTTTTTAAAGTAGAAATGCCTTTCTGTGTACGTCACTTCAGAAGACACACCACCACCTCCAGAACTTGTCCAATAACCTCTTGTTAGATATTGGTGAGTAAAATTAATTACTTGTCTGTCTAATAACTTTTTTTTCATGAAGTTACATTCTGAAGAGTAATTTGTGTTCTCTACTTTTTTTGTTATAGCTGCTGGTTTTCTTCAGATTCTCAAGATTCCATATGTCTATTACAAATTCAGAGCAAGCTACATCTTTGACCTTTAAGTTAGTCTCTCAGAAGAATGTGTTTTCAAAATGATAAAACTAAGTCATCACTGCTTTCAGAATGGAATCCTGTAATTCTCCCCTTGCTAAGTTTGGAAACTGGCCTCAGCACTCTGCCCAGCAGGCAGGCCTTCTGCAGAGCAAGCTTCAGCTTGCCTATTCCTCAGTTTCCTGGGCTTTTTGGATGTTGAGTTTTTTGGGAGGGGAAGGAGGGAGCAGAGCGAGGGGGGCAATTTGGTTGGTTTGCTCCTCACTGTGCGCACTCCTTCTTGAGTCCTCAAACAAGTGTAAAAGCATAGCAGCAGAGATTTTCCAAAATAGTTATCAAGTTTGCATTACAAAAGTAGTAAATAATAACTTCTTTAAAAGGGAAAAAAAAGAACAAAACAATACCATATCCATATTTTACTATACAAATTACAAGTTTCTTGATACCAGACCTGGGTTATGTGAACTGAACCATTGTTTGAGTTGCTTGATCTTGAATCCCATAGTGATTTTTATTCTTTGAAATTCTTTGTCCTGGGACATCTTAATTTAGTTGTAACTTATGTATATTTTTCTTGTTGCAGATTTATTTTGCTGCCCTCAGATTTAAGATAACACTGATAAATGGAATTGCATGCTTTGTGTTTGTAGAGACATTAACCATACCATTTATTCTGTATTAGAAAAAAACTAGTTAGTGTCTTCACAATAGTTAGCTTTTCATTCTGTGTATTGCTCTAACACAAAGAATGGAAGACAAAGGAAATGAATTTTAATCCTTAAGTTGGATTAATATCTTTTAATATTTTATTTAAAATTTTAAAAAGTGAAACTGAAATATTACAACAAAACTAAGCAGATATTCTGTATTGTTTACTAACTGAAGCTCTATTCAGGCTTATATTCAGCAGATGATAATGTATGTGTGAGTATGTTTAATTAAATGGATTTTAATGAATTTAATCTATTGTAGTTTTTTTATTACTTTTTAAAGTAAATTGCATGGTTTTAAAATATAACAGGTGAGGCCATATATTAAAGTAAGCAATAAAAGAACTTCCAAGTTCAGAGCCTCATTGTATTGTTTTCAAAAAAATTTTGCCTTTGTGTAGTTTAAACGTCTGTGTCGATGCTTGAAAGAATTCTTAACAGTGACTACTGCTCTCTAGGAGCTTTTCCACCCGTCATAGAGTTTGAACTTTGAATATGTTGTTCTTTAGGATATCAAATATCTAAGGAGATAAAGGGGAAAAATTAAATAAGTTGATATATCGTGTATGCAGAATAATGGGAATTGAGTAAATTCTATACTACTTGGAAGCATCAGAGTGGTGTGTGTGTGTGTGTATATACACAAATATATATATATATATATATATATATATATATGTACTTAATAGCACATGATGTGATGAGACTGATCCTTTGGATGGTTAACTTGCAAGCTGGGGGATATGTTGTGGTTTTTGGATTCATTTAAATTCTATGTTTTAGGTGGAACACTAACCAGAATCTTTGAAGGGATGAATACTTCTTTTGCCAGTATGAGAACTTTGATTTAAGTGAACTAACAACTGTGTAATATGCCCCTATATTGCAGGAATTCTAAAACGCTTAAGATCCAAAAAGCTTTCAAGCACCTAACTTGTGATGAAAATTGTATTTAATATGTATGTCCATAGAAGAATTCAAAGTCTGCTTTGTTGGCTTAGATGCCTATCTTTTCTTCAGAAATGTTGGTAGTTAAATTTCCAGTGGTGTGTATATTGCCATCAACAATGCTGAGTCACTCTACTACTAAAGACTTTTAAATGTCTAGATATCTGAAAAAATGAATAAGAAAAGTGAGCTTGTAAGACAGGCTTCTCTCTGACATACTTTGCAAATATCAGTTATGCTGATTTCTGTTGAACCTCCAATATATTTTTTTTTAAATTTATAAAAGTGACAATTCCCAAGAAAAATAATCCAGAAATGTTTAGATTTCAGTGATATCTCCTCCTTTTCTAAATGAGTGTCCTAACACATGTGATACAAGAAAAATGTGCAAATTGTTTTGCCACCTCCTTCTAAGATGTGACACTGCAAAGCAAAAATAAAAATTAAGAATACAGAAGATAACTATTTGATTTAATGTAGTAGTTTTATACACACATCTGCACATGTACAGTGTAACTGATAATATTCAATTAAGGGATTAGAGAGTTCTTGCCGCGAGGGACACCTTATTCTCCTGGAACAACCAATGTATGTTTATATATATATTTTTTTCAACATAGACACCACCATTACCTCTGCGTTTTCACCAGTGATGAACAAGACCATGCATGTCATGCTCGTAAAAATCTTCACCAGCGGCGTTGAACTGCTGTCGCCTCTGCTTAAATGCACACGCACCACCTCACTGTGCTCACATCCACTGTTTGGTCTCCAGAAGTGTTCAGCAAGCATCAATAATGTCAGTGGGTGCCATTTTTCTGCATGGAGGAGTTCAGTTCCACACTTTGGCTTCATCACTTCCATGTCAGATGCCTTTTTGTCAGACTGCCCCTTTGTTGCTATTTGTCAGACAACAAAATATAATGTGATATTGGCAGAAGGGTTCGCCATCTACTGCAACACCACCATCTGCCTCTGATGTTGTGGGCCAACATAATAAAGCAGGACGCATTACTTTCAGAGCTGCCCTCTGGTGTTCCAGTGGCATTTCACAGTTTTATGTTGTTTGATTAGTATTGTGCTGTCTTAATTTAATGTTCATGTTTAGCTTGCTACTGAATTATTTCTTAGCTATGCTTTCTTCTTCATTTTTAGACACAGATATCAGTGAATCTGGTATTTCCATCAGAAGCACTGGTTCAGCTACTTCTGTGACCAGCCAAGGTGAGCGGAAGAGAAGGACGCTTCCACAACTTCCCAAGGAGGATAAAATGAGTGAAAGCTCCAGAACAAAAACTGCATCTCATCAGAGATCAGAAATAGGTGAAAAGCAGGACACTGAACTTCAAGAGAAAGAAACTCCAGCTCGTGCCTCAGATTCTGACAGCAGAAGTATAGCTAAGTCAAGCAGAACAGTGAATGGTCTTTCACCCAAAGCAACAGGAGAAAAGGTTTTCTCTTTCCCTGGTTCTTCCAGTAAAGAGAGAGCTGAAACTGGCAGAGAAACTTCTGTGGTGAAACAAGCTCTAGCGAAAATTCAACAAGAACGAAAGGAGCAAGGACACTGGACACCCACAAAATCTGCTACAACCTTCGTTGAGAAAGATAAGGAGGAGATTGCTGTGTCACGCAAAACTTTGGATAATCAGGACAAAACTCCTGGACATGATAAAGCAGCAATGAAGTTAGCACAGAGTGAGGGAAAAAGAAGAAGGAATGAGGAAAGTATTAAAGGACAAAGTCCCAAAGCATCAGGAGAAAAAAAGGAATCCTCAAAACCGTTAGTGAGGCAAGGCAGCTTTACTATAGATAAGCCTAGCACAAATATACCCATAGAGCTTATTCCTCACATTAATAAGCAAAGTGGATCTGCTGCCCCCTTAGCATCTGCGAACAGAATACGTGACAGAAGTGATTCAATGGACACTGATTCCAGTCTAGATACAACACTCATTTTAAAAGACACTGAAGCTGTAATGGCTTTCCTTGAAGCTAAACTGCGTGAAGAAAATAAAACTGATGAAGGTCCTGAAACTCCTAGTTACAACAGAGATAATTCCATATCACCAGAATCAGATGTAGATACAGCCAGCACAATCAGTCTTGTTACTGGTGACAGTGAAAGGAAATCCACACAGAAACGAAAGAGCTTTACAACTTTATATAAAGATAGATGTTCCTCTGGTTCCCCTTCTAAGGATGTTGTAAAATCCTCTGCAACAAGTGCCAGAGAAAAGATGGAAAAGAAAACTAAAAGTCGATCTTCAGATGGTGGATCTAGAGCTGATGCTCGCAAGTCTGTGCAATCCAGTGGAAGAATGAGACAACCATCAGTAGACTTGACAGATGATGACCAAACATCTAGTGTACCTCATTCTGCCATTTCCGATATTTTATCATCTGACCAGGAAACCTACTCTGGCAAATCACATGGAAGAGTTCCTTTTGCCTCAGCAGATGAACTTTTGCATTCTAAAATGGAAGGAAAGTCAGCTAAATCAAAAAGCTCTCCTGTCATACTTGGACAATCTAGTAAATCTACCACTCTTCCAAGACCTCGTCCTACAAGGACTTCTCTCCTGCGCAGAGCACGGCTTGGTGAAGCCTCAGACAGCGAGCTTGCTGATGCCGATAAAGCTTCAGTCGCTTCTGAAGTGTCCACTACAAGTTCTACATCAAAACCTCCATCGGGGAGGAGGAGTATTTCCAGAATAGACTTACTTGCTCAACCCCGCAGAACTCGACTTGGCTCTTTGTCAGCACGTAGTGATTCTGAAGCGACAATAACCAGAAGCACTGCTTCATCTCGTACTCCAGAAGCTATTATCAGAAATGCAAGGTTGACATTAGCAGGAGAAAGTAAAGTTTCTGCTAGAACTCGAGCCAATAGCATTTCTCGACTTTCAGATTCAAAATCCAAATCTTTGGCTTCAGCTCATAATTCTCCTTCAGGTACGTCTGATTATTTGAACTATTTTTCTACAATACTATATATATGTATAATTTTTTAATATGTGGATAATTTATTTACTTATTTTTAAGGTACTGTTCTGACCAAACAATTCATTGAGTTGTAGTTGACTTGATCTTTTTCTTTCAAGTAGGAGGCTTTCTTGGTGATGCTTGTGGACATTTCTCACTTAAAGTTGCAAAGACAAGAAATTTTAATCTTTTAACTTGGATGGAGATATGCATGTGTGTGTATATGTATATAAAATTATGTTTGTCTAACTGGAAGTCAATATCAAAGAATTACACTGAGGTATTCAAGTGTGGCAGCACTGATTTTCATGACAGTGGAATCTCTAAGCTCAAGCCATAGTAGTGAATATTTAGATGGTCAGCAACATTTTTACTACATAAAATATACATTAGTTTGTGAAGTATTATTTGCCAGCCTGGAATACAGTAAGAGTTCCCTAAGGGAACACCCTCAGAAGTTTTAGGATATTCTTATTCATAATTTAAGACCAGCTTCTAAAACCATAAAAGTGAGATTTGTTTAGTATGGATAATAACTAAGAGTAAGAAAGGAAAAAATCAAACACAAATGCTACCTGACTAAGCACACTAAAGTTAAGCAATTCATATTACGTTTGCCTTGCCTTAGAGTAGTTTCTATTCTCTTATCTAAGTCATGACAATTTCTGATTTCGTCATGATTTCCAAATCATGTTTCTTTTGTATGGTAGCTTGTTCACTGTAATTTATCTAACATGTGGATGAAAAAAATCCATAGAGTTATTAATTTTAACCTGCTATTCAGTTAGAAGCTAACACAGTGCCTTAAATACAAGCAGAGTGAAAGCTAGATTTTTTTCCAACAGAAATATTAAATCAATCAAAGTTAAAATGTGATTCTAAATGTTATCTACCATATGAAATGAATATTTGTAATTGGTGACTTCTTGCTTTTTGAGTTGCCTATATTGACTGTATTTCAAGCCAATGCGCGATCTAAGAAAAACATAAATCACAATAGCTTGCTTAATTCCAGTGCTGAGGTATTTCCAGAGATTATATTTTTACTGCACCACCTCCTATTACAATACATTTATTTATTTATTTATTTAGGTATATTTCCTGCTACCCTTCTATTGCTTGTGTATCATGAATGTACCATTAGAATTCTTAGCAGTTTCTCCTACACAGCTGCATTTTTGTTGTCGTTTATTAGCTGAATAGAAGTTTTAGAAGAGATAAAAATAAAGTAGAAAACAAAAAGGTGATTCTGTTATACTATGATCTCTATAAAGATACAAAAAAAATTTAAATCTCTGATAAAAACACAATATTTCCTTCTAGGATGTCATTGGAAAAGTAACGTACTTTCACTTTTAATCAGTTTTGACTGGACTCATGCAGCTTGAAAGCTGGCAGCATTAGTTCAAAGAGTGTCCATTAATCCTGCTTGTACTTTTAATAACCAACACTAATTCTCATCCTGCTACCACTGATTTTTTAAAAGGCAAACCACAGATATTACTTGTTGCTTTGCTTCCTCCCTTCCCCCCGCAAAACTGTGTATGGATGTTGAGGCTTGTGTACATTTATGTCTCTATGCTTTCTAAACTTCCCCCAGATTGCGGCATTGAAGTGATTTGTTACCTCTGTTCAGTGGAGTCCTTTCAGCTTTCACTTCCTAGTCTATTAGTCTGTCCTGGCTGTCTGTCCTTAATGTTCATTTCAGTTACCTGCATTGCACAGCTAACTCTGCCTTGTATAAAATGTACTGCTTTCCAGAGGGAAAAGATGTCATCTTCTCATGGGCTACCTGACTTATGTAATAAGCTAGCTATTAAAAACCACTACTGTTTTGAAAAATTTGCAGTAGAACTAGCTTATGCCATTAAAACTAAATTATCAATGTACATACCTAAATCAGGAGTAGCATGTAGGCCATTTAGAATTTACTTTAGGTATATTGGAATTGCTGTAAAACTGGTGTAGAATTTACTGCTGCAGGCCACTTACACACACCACTACTCAGTGCATCTCTATTTTCACTGGCATTTTTAAAATGATGGTAACATCTCAAGTTATTAATAACACTATCATTTTCCCCATTTTACACATATTTAAAATGTTTAATTTGAATGTATTATTTGCATGCAATATATAAAATGTAAAGCAGCAGCATATTTTAGATCCAAAGAATATAATTTTGTTTCTGGAAATGTCAAGGATTCACTTAAATATTTTGTTGTGCTCTTAAAAATTACTAATGAAATGCCTGGAGTATGTCAAAGTGTTTGAATGTATTTGCCTTCAGGCAGATTTAATTCAAGCATAATTATTGTTTATTTTCTTGTCTACCTGGACCTAGAAAGACTGGAAAATGAATTCTCATTACCAGGAAGTTAGTTGGTTTTTTGTTGTTGTACTTATTTTTACCAGTGCATTAGTTGTGATTGAAGTGTTAAAATTGTTCCATGGGCCTTCTCATCAGAGCAGTTAACATTACAGCATTGTAGATCATGAAAATATTGGCATTGGAATCATGCTGCTTAGATTCAGTCTATGAAAGAGAAAATTACTTTCACATATTGCAAATCTCTTTGAATGTTCAGACATACATTCCCACAAAAGTGGGGAGAAAAGGACTGCATTTATTGGACTTTTTTAACTACCGTCTACTTATGTGGATTGATTGCAACATAACAGCATTAAAATTGCCAGAGCTGTGCCATTGTTTCCAGAAACTTTTGAAAGCCTTTGTGCAGATAAGTATTGCTTGTTTTTAAATGAAAGGACAAGCAGATAAATGGAATGTCTTGGATGAGAGTTATCAGTATTGAAGTATTTGCCAGGGTGTTCCCATGGCAGGAGGCATGATAACTGAGAGCACTGGGAAAAACCAAACCAAATTAGTCATTCTGTGTATAGCACAAGCAATCAAGGATTTAATCAAGGCACTAAATAATCAAAAAATAGGGTGATCAATAAAAACAGAGAGGACAGAATTGTGGAGGAAAATTGCAGATGGTGTTATGAGAAGAGCCGCGTGTTGCAGAGAAAAAGCTGTGAGGACAGACTTAGTGCAAGAGTGCCAAGTGCAACTGTAAAATTCTGCATTATTTTAAAGCAGAGAGGCCTTGGTGAGTGACTAGTGTTGGCAGCACTGCCAACTTGCTGACCTCGCTGTCATTGCAAATAATTAGCAGACAAGTTCACCAAAGCTGCTGAGGTATCCCTGTAAGAAAAAGCAAAAAGGTTCAAGGATAGAAAACAACCTTTATCTGACCTCTAGCATTTTTGCAGTAAGGATTTTTGAAACAGGCAATCTCTGGGAAGGCAGTGCATCTGTGAGGATATTTTGTAAGGGATATGTTGAGTAAATCTGTTCCCAAATCTTAAAAGCAAGATCATGGTGTCATTTGCCAAATTAAGGTGTTCTCAACACACTGTGCTTTCACACAATAGCCACCAATAAGATTTGTCAACTGTTAAGTATACAGTAACATTTTTCCCACGTTAAAATGATCATAATAATGAATTTTCAAAATTGGTTTTGTGGTACTATGTAGACAGTTGCTATTGATGTTATTTCAATTGCATAGTATCTTTGAATGTTTAATGTATAATTTAAGAATTTTTTCTAAAAAGTGTGAGTCAATGCTGTGTGGAAAAAGAGGAATTAATACTGATCTCATCAATAGATTTTATTTAAGCAAATGATTCTTATTTGAATGTTTTAATGCAAATTAACATGATAAAACACTATTTTGTACACAGAGAAACCCAAGCTTCTCCCAGACCCAGATCCTGATGTTGAAACTTACAGTGGTAGAGTACTAGAAATCAAATCTGTTTCTGATATTTCACTTCTCATTCAGTCTTTAGTTTTTAAATATGACTACATATGCTCATTGTACAGTGCTGAGTTACTGGATTACCTCACTTGAGAGAATTTATGATCAATTTTATATTTATTTTGACGCATTTCATTTGAACTTGGACAAAATACGTAAACAAAAATTAATAATGAAATGTGGGCCCAACTCATAAATCTCTTTGGACTTCAGTCACAAGTTGCTTGCATGCTATTGGTGGGGAAATGTGCTTTTTCTGCTTATGTTCTATTTCCCTAATCAAAACAAACTTGAAACCCCTAAAAGGAATGCAGTAAGTAGCTGGAAAGATCTTTTTCCTTTGGTAGTTAGAATAATGATAATTTAAAAAATAAAAAATAAAAAAAAATAGTAGAGCTGGACACAATTTGAAGCCCACGTTTAAACCTGAAAAAATTGCACGAGAATGTGTTTTTAGAAATTAAAGATGGATTATTTACATGAGGGAAGGGGTGTAAGCTTATGACATTACTGTCATATTATAAGCATTATAATCATTTGAGGCATTGCGCAGATCATTTCACAATTAAAAATGACTTCAATGTTTATTACCTAAATTCATATCGATATATTATTTCTAATGTGTTGACTCTTGTAATAATGACTATTCCAAAATCATTAAAAGTTGCTTTTTTCTTTTTCCTATCCTAAAGCCACTATGAATAAATCGAATACTTTAAATTACTAAGATACAATCACACATTTTACAAAATGTCTATGGTTATTATAGAGCCTCATGAATGTCAGTGAGTTTAGGGGATTAAATCCCCTGCAAGACTTCAGCAGGTCACAGTGATGAGCACTCCTTTACACTCGGGTGATGTCTCTTCCTGCTGGGAACATTTGAGGACAGAATGTCTGAAACAGACTTTAGACTTAACTAATTCCTAGGGGGAAGAAAGCTTCCTAGTCAATTCCAGTTCTCTCCTACTTCAGTCTGTCCACAGCAACATGGCCATATATACTTTGTGCTATGTGTGAGGAAAACATGCATTTTGCTTTAAGGTTTCTGGAGATCTGCTGCTGATTTTTATGGCACAATATTAGAAGTATTTTTTTCTATGCTAAATTTTATCTTCCTGGGTTTTAATACTTTCCTTATGTAAGCATGCATTCTAGGCTTGCTGCCAGCTCAGTCCTTCCTTCATGTCTTCTCTTTTTTTTTGTGCACTACTTAAACCTTAAATTAAACTTATGGGAAAAAAATCTGCAGAAAAAGTGCAAGCTGATTATTTACTTAAATGTTCATGAATTGGGCCCCTGATTTATAATACAGTTTGCTTGAGCTCATGTACAGTTACTGGCTTTTACATCTTATTTCACTCATCATTATACAAAGAGCATCCAATTTATGTTTTATTAATATTATTTAACACAACTTCTGTAGCTTTCTTTTTAAGATGTGGTAAAAAAGCTTTTTGTAAGGTATCTGGGGATCGGCAATTAATAGTTGTGTACTTTTACGATAATACTGAAATAATTTTGGCTTTTTCCTTATAAAAGATACAATAATAATTCTTTTTTAATGATTAAACTAATTTAGTAAGTGCAAGATGGAGGCGCTTTCCTACAGATTATGCTTCCACCTCAGAAGATGAATTTGGATCAAACCGTAATTCTCCTAAACATACCCGTCTACGTACCTCTCCAGCCCTGAAAACCACACGACTGCAGAGCACGGGGACAGCAACTCAAAGTAGCAATGCTTTCAAGCACAGAATAAAAGAACAGGAAGATTACATACGTGATTGGACTGCCCACCGAGAAGAAATAGCAAGGTTGGTTTCAAAGGAGCATCACCAAAATGACAGAGATTTGATATATAGGAGAAAGTAAGCTGGTAGATTATCACTCTCTATAGTTTTCATTCGCTAACTGAAGGGGTGATTTTAAATTCCTCTTATGAGACACTGGCAGAACACTTGTGTTACCTGTACGTATTCTAATGGAATAGGATGATCATTGCTGAGTTATGATAGCTAGATCCCAGAATGCAACTTCTGGTTGCACTAGCAGGACTTGCAGAGGAACTCTGTGTGGAACTGTTAGTTGCTAATGGTATGTTTCTTGAGGTATATTTGAATTATATCTGATTTTGTATTGTTTGCATTGATGGTGAGGTAGAATTTCAGATGAGTGCATAGGTGTCAGAGAGGAAGTTAAGTTCTGAGAGACTGTTAGGTCATGTTAGATATCATGTGATCTAAAATCACATGTGTTCATCAAAAAGTAATTTCTTGCGAGTCCCTGAGATTAGTGTTGCAATTTCTGCATTATTGCTGTTAGCACTGTGCTTCAAGTGAGCCATGCAAATGGAAAAGGCAGTCACTTCTGCACTCTAGTATCTGATTATTCCTGTATCATGCAATACCCAGGCAATGAAAGTAGCTTGTTCAAAGTAAATTAAACTGTGTAAGTATTTAAATCCTATTTAAAACTTAGGTGTGAGTGCTCAAGTTTTGAATGTTTTCAAAGGACTTAGTTTGGAAGCCTAAACAAGAAAAGTGTTGTTTGTTTAATTTACCTTACGCTGTGGTCTCACAGCTGTGAAGCACTGTGTTGCTTAGTTTAAGTAACCATTTATTTTTTTCTTGATAATAGTTTTCACCGTTTTCTTCTAGTGTAGTCTGTGCAAAGGGAAAATACTTAAGGCAGTCTTGGTAAGCTGTGAGAAGCACCTTGAACTAACAGACTATGAATTTAATTATAATTTAATAGCAAGAATATGAAGAAGGTGTGATTAAAATCAGAAATGAATAAGGCTTAGAAACTTCAAAGGTGTAATTTCCATATTGTAGCTTAGGTGATATTGTGTCCTCCTGAACACAGGTGAAGACAAGTACTTTAACATCAGAAATGTTGTATATTTATATATTTATATCTGTGTATATATGTGTATTTATACACATGTGCACATCTATGAAAATATTCAACTTTTACAGAATTCTGTGAGTTGAGATTTATTTATTTTTATTCGAATTTGCATCCACTCTACTAAAATAGGTCACTTTTAAGTGTGGAAGTGAATGGGTGACCAGGGTAATTAGTACATTATGGGAGAATGCATACACGTCTGTCAACTGAAGAGAAGTGGAATAGTTCACTAATTTTGTTAGCTTCCTTCACTTCTGCAGTTGCATTTCTTTATTATTATTTTTATTTATTCCTTATTGATTTATGCTTGCCAGTCATCGATTATGTGTCTAACAATGTCTTTGCAAAAGATTTGAGGGGACAGGAGAGAGAGGGTTGATTTTTGTTAAGATCAATTGAATGACTGATCAGATTAGGGAGGTTTTAAGTTAAAAGTCGATTATATGACAAGTGTTTTGTTTTTTCCATGTTACCATCATGTTCTTTAAACTGATCTTCAAAGAATGATCCAGCTTACACTTTTCACAGACTCTACAATTAACAAGTTTATTAACAATAATTATTTATTAACAAATGTTAATAAACTTGGAAAATATATTTTAAAAATGTCTTTTGGAGCCTCCTGGGGAAAGGGAGATGCAAGAAAAGCTAGGGAAGTTCCCTTCATATGATTCTGTTCTGCTGAGCAAAATGAAGAGCTATGTTTTGATGTGGAAGAAAGAAAAAGGCAAGTGCAGAGAGAGATAGCAGTAGTTCAGAGCTCTTCATATAGTAATTAGTCAAAGGAACCTTCAGCTGAGAAGTTGAATGTATTTGTATAATGCCATCATACATTTGTTTTTTCAAATGGCAAGCTTTTCTTGTTTAAATTTGGGGGTCTAAGGTATTGGTCACTTTAGCAGTAAGCAGTTCAATCTGAGCAAGCTGCAAGGCTGCTGGATAATAAGAGGTCTTGCAGAAGTTCTTTGCAAGTAGATAAGCTGAAATATAAATTAAAGGCGTCTTCATGGGACATCTGTGCAGTATTTTCACAATATTTCCAGTGTATCCTACGCTGAACTTAAATGTGTTGCACACGTCTGCCTGGGAATCCTAGGAAGAAAACAAGGATATTCTCTTGAGATTGCTTTCTACCATCTTCTTCTATAAAGGCATATTATTAAGAGCTTCAGTTAGGAATTTCCTGTTGTATTTCTGTGCATACGCTTTCTGTTCTGAAAAGCATACTCCTCATAACACAGCTACCATCAGAAACTGGAACATCATCTGGAAGGCTGCAGGCTGGGCTCTACTGCTGTTTGTATTTGTAGACAAGAGTGTAACACTGTCTTTATTACTAGGATCAGTCAAGATCTGGCTCTCATCGCACGGGAAATCAACGATGTAGCAGGAGAAATAGATTCAGTGACTTCATCAGGCACTGCCCCCAGTACCACAGTAAGCACTGCTGCCACCACCCCTGGCTCTGCCATAGACACTAGAGAAGAGGTAGGAGATCTTCATGGAGAAATGCATAAGGTTCTTTCTTTTCTTTATTTCTTTTGCTTTTAGCATTTTGCATAGCCTTTTTCAGTTATTTCCACCCAACCTGTATGCATAATCTCTACCTTCATTTTTAATTTGAAGTTCTTTTACGTTCTGATAAACTACCCAGAAATGATTCTGTTAACGCAGATTGTGAAAAATATCACACAACTGCATACTATCTGTCTGTCTCTTTTTTTCCACAAAGCATAGGACAGGATGGTTATTTGTTTCCTTCTTGTCCTTAGCCTTAGATACTTTTGGGTAGTATCTAAGTGCATTTAAAAGTACTAGTGACGTATGCAGGAATATATATGTATACAGTTAATACTTTATGTAGCCATTTAAAAAAAAGCCCCTCTTTTCACAGGTAATATTGAAGTTTCTTCTTCTGAAAACTGAAATGCTTAGGAACCATCAGCTAACAATAACTTCACATTTTCTTTCCTAATAATGTCGTAAAAACTGCCTTGAAATAAGTTTGCATTGTGCTTGTATTAATTCTTATTTTCTTTGACTATATCTGGTGTGCTTGAATATATTGACTAACTTCTTTTAATAACCATCACAGTTCTAATGCTGGTATACATGTTAATCTGAACGTAAATCATCACTTTCTTCCATATTATAATTCACCCTAATGTTTACTGCATTTTTAAATTCATGTTAGTTCTTTCAAAATGTGTTTATTCATTTTTTGTGTACGTAAAGTTTGGCTAATAGATTAGTTGACCATGTTTAGTATAATACTGTCTTTTTCTGTGGAAAAAAAGATATAAACAGTGGCAAGAAACTTGTGAGTTGTGTACTCAGGAAAAAAAATATAACTACACTCACACAGAATTTATCTTTAATTCTTATGAACTGTAGCTAACCTTCAGCAAGATGTGCTCATTTTCTCAGATGTAGTCAGGTTGCTCTGATTTTTATACTACAGTATAAAAATCTTATTTCTTTTTAAAAGATGCTGTACAGTTGTACATGCTACTGCAGGTGGCAGTCTTTCCTTTAAGTAGGCATAGGTGTTTCTGTAACTCTATGACTAATTGGGAAAAATCTAAATTTGATTGCACTGTACCTAATCTCACACATATACATTCCTTTAATTAAAGGAATAAAATTCCAGTACCAATTTGTAGGTAATTATCCATGTTACTTGTATGTAAGCAAAATGTCTATGGGGTAACCTTATTTCTGTTGCCATGTAGATCTGCTGTTTGGAAAAAAAAAAAAGACATTTGTTTTAACGAAGTATTGCTGTATTTGAATGTGGCATCACACTATACTACAGAAGACAGAGTGACTTTTATTTGATAAGCTTCTTCAAAGCTGCCTGAAAAGGAGAAAAGATTAGTCTCATTTTACTCGTATCCAGTTGGTTTAATAAACTGCATTTTTCTTTTGCTCTCCAGTTGGTTGACCGAGTATTTGATGAAAGTCTCAATTTTAGAAAAATCCCTCCACTAGTGCATGCCAAACCACCAGAGGGGAACGGTCAGCCTAATGATGGGAGACCTCAACTACCAGATGCCATGGATCCCCCAACAATTACCCGAAGAAGGACTTGGAGCAGAGATGAAGTAAGTACAAAAGAAATTTCTCTATGGTAATGTTTCTATTTCAGTTTTTCGTAATCATCTCTCTGCTTAGCATTCTACACTATCCTTTCATTCTTACCTGTACCAGGTAGCATAAATACTGGAAAAAATTATTTAATTTAATGTTTTAGTATGATCATTTGTGTAGGATACTAATTAGAACACAAGTAATATTTTTTCAGGTTAAAAAAAATGGAAAATGCATGGAATTGTTTATGTTTAATTCTATTTAAAACTTATTTCAGGTTATGGGGGATAGTTTGCTGTTGTCCTCAGTCTTCCAGTTTTCTCGCAAAATAAGACAATCCATAGACAAAACAGCTGGCAAAATCAGGTGGGTTTTCTTTTGAAGTTGTTATTTCTGAAAATGTTCTGTTCACGTTGACATTCCTGCTAGTAGATGTATGTAATTCAAATAGAGCAAATGCATTTAGTAGCAGCTTGTGTTTTGAAAAAACAATGTTGGTTATGGTGTTGGGTTTTTTTTACTATTCAAGGAGATTTCAAATTGTTTTTCTATTATTGTTTGTGTGTGTTTCCTATTGTGTGAAGATAAATATCAGCAAAATTTGCATGGACAGGAGTAATATCCAATATATTTCCAGCAGAAGAGCTGTTCCAAAGCATGGAAATGCTGTACAAAATCTGCAGTGCTTCTGCACAAACATCATAAAACTCCCTTAACTTAAAAATAAAGTTAAAACTTTGCTGAATTGTATATTTGCCAAGCTGATGTAGAGATCAACCATTTTAGGAAGAAAAACAATTGGAGAGAGGAGAACAGTTTTGTTAAATCCTTCTGAAAAAGAACTTACTCTGGAGACAATAACTAAAATAACAGATGATGACATCTGTTGTTTTTAATTACAAAGTCCTGTTTAGATAGCTAGATTTCTGCCACAAATGTCATAGTAGCTAACAGGAAGTCCAGACCTATCAAAAATGGTAACTTGTTTCCCTATCAACAGCTGTTTTAACTTCAGTAACATTTGGTGACCATTTTAGTTGACAAGAGGAAATGAAAATTCTAAATGCAAAGTTCAGTGTTGTTTAATTTACATGTCCTTCCTTCGTGTCTTATTGTAGCTAATAGTGTATGTTAAAAAGAAAAGACACTTGGCTGAACTTAATGCAATTTTTTTTTAAGTGTGAGAGCATACTAGGACTGTAATTGATCGGTTTGGCTAGGAAATACCCCATATTGAAATCTTGGATATTTGTAAGTCTGTTCTATTTTTACCAGTGGTTACCAGTAACATTTGTGAGCATGGTATTTCCACCATCTCAGAATGTGTTTCCAGGCTGACATTCATCTTGCTTGTCTTTCCACATGTCCCTTTTGAGGCTGCAGGATTATAATACTCTTTGGTTTTCTCAAGACATGTAACTTTATGTATGATGTTGTTTGCTTTGATATCTTGAAGGAAAGTACATAAATATCTTTTACTATGTCAATTTCATTTGTAAATGAATTTTTGAAACATAGGTTTAAAATACAGTTGCTCTCAAAAACTCTGTATCCTGGTTCTGTCCCCTCCCATGTTCTCATGTAGCTGTAGCCCTAGTTCTCTCACTGGCGGGGTAGTGTAAGAAGCTGATATTCTCCTGGTTTCAGCTGGCACAAAATCGATTTTCTTCATAGTTTCTGCTATGATGCTATGTATTAGCTTTAGGAGAAAAACAGTGGTGATAAGACATCAATGTTGTAGTTGTTGCTGAGCAGTGCTGTGCAGATCTAAGGCTGTTTCAGCTTCCCACGTTGTCTTGCTAGTAACAGAACTGGGGGAGAAGTGCACAAGAAGCAAGGAGGAGACAGAACCAGGGCAGCTGACCAAACTGATACTCCATACCATATGACACCATGTGGAACAATGAAACAGAGGGTGGGTGGAGTTGGCTGAGGGGAGATGCCACTGCTTGGGAACTGGTTGGTCATTGATCAGCAGGCAGTGAGCAACTGTTGTGTAACTCTTGTTTTGTAATTATGTATATTATATATATATTATTGTCATTGCTATTATTTCTCTTTTCCTATTTTTGTCTTGGTAAATAGTTTTTAGTTCAACCTGAGATTTGATATTTAATAAAACAAATACATATGTTCTACTTTTTCCACCCCATCCCCCCCCAGTTCTCTCTCATCACCCTGGAAGTGGGGAGTGATGGAATGGCTGTGTGGCTGAGCCATCTGCCTGGATAAACCCAGAGCACTGTGTCAAATTAAGAATTTCACTTTATTGTGCAGAAATTAATATAAATTACATAGAAATTCACAATATTAATCTACCTTTGAGTTCACTGTATCATTTGCTCAAATCTCATCTCGAAAAATGAGCAAATAAACACTCGCAAAGAGATAACTAAGTCTGATCATTCTTTGGAAGTCTTTCTAAAAGACATTAAACATACTGCAAATGGAAGCATTACAAAAATATTACATTTTTGTCTTCAGCATAATTCTTTGGGAAAATTCAGTGACATCCACAAGGAGCCCTGCTTTACCAGTATATTTTTTTTCCTTTTAAAGCTGCATCACCGGAACAAGAATCTTACTTATTGACTTTTTTATGGTAGGCTTGTGGGACGATATGTATCTTAAAATGCTGTAAAAGCAGTAGATAATAGATGCCCTACTCTTTTTTTGTAGATTTTTATTGATGCTTAGTTCTGTAAATATTTTGCAAGTACAGTTGTAGTTTATTTGACACAAAAATCTGTGAGTACCATATAATGAATTTAAACAAATCTACATATGCAAGTGCATTCTGAGAAACAGTAATATCATCTTACATTTTTTTGCTAAACTTTCTGAGCTTAATGGCTATGTAATGCTACATTGTAATTAATGCAATAATGCTATGATTATTTATAATAAGATACATATGAGGATATGGATAAACATTATGTGTACATTTAAAGAGAACAGCATTACGTATTGCCATAAAAATATGTTCATTGGAGAACTTTCTTTAGCATATTTCTCAGAGCTGTGATCAAAACTTCCTTTACCTGCTACTCAGAATGGATTTGAAAAATGACATTTTTCGTAATGTCATTGGTATTTTGAATTAGAAAAATAGAATAGTTGTAGAACTGTTTTTTAGTGAGCATGTAAGGGAGCAGTGAGTTATGTACATCAAAACAAAGCTAAGATAAATACTGTAGTAAGGTCAATAGACTGCTATGCTTCTATTTATTTCCCTGGAGCTAAGCTGTTTAAAATTTCTGTCTGGAATAGATATGATGAGAATCAATCAGGATTTGCTAAGCTAACATTTGTGTACAGTTCCAGAGTATTTGACCCTTTCAAGGAGATGAGGAAGTTTTAGAGATGCCAGAGTGCCTGACTGTGTTGTTGAAGTCATCCCTCAAGTTTCTTTGTTCACCAATATAATCTCATCTCACAATAATGGAGGCAGTATGGGACAGTTACAGCAATTACAGATTCCACCATATATACTGAAAAATGATGTCCATTCTGTCTGAGACCAAATGGACAAATAAATGTTTTCTGTAAATGTGAATGCTGCTGCTTGTAATATTTTAGTTGCAGTAGCTAGTTTTACTGAAAATACCAGTTTTGCTTTGGCTAAAGTATTAAGAACATAAATATTTTCAGTCATCCTTGACAAGATGATGTGTCAAAAATTATAATGAGCAGAACTCAGTCATGAAAATAAATGTGTGTGAGGAAAAGAAGGGGAAATACATGTCTTTCTGCTTGGCTAATTTCTTCTCCATTTCATTGGAGCTGCTGTTTCTGTTTTCCAAATTGAATATAATGCTCTGACTTATATGGAGTTCTGTCAGCACAGGGGCACACATTGTGCAGCCACAGCTCAGGCACCATGGCAGCTGAGGGAAAAGGAGTTGTGCTGTCACCAGCCACCTGCCAGGCCCAGAGTTTGTGGCATCACCTGCTGCCTGGAGGTGGATGGCAGGTCTGCAAGGACTAAGGTTACAGGCCGAGGACTCTCATGTGGTCTGAGAGCAGAGTGACCTCTTAGATAGCAACACATGCTCTGTGAAGGATGTGCCCTTCGACTGATGGAAAAACTGACAAGAAAGGAACGCAGCTTGTCAGTGTTCTGGTGGGCTGCCTTAGGCAAAAGGAAGATGAGAAAAAGGAGTTGGGTGACAACTGCTCTTTCAAAGCTAATTCTGTGGGACTGCACTCAATTTCTGTGAGCCTACCTCTGCTGTAAGGAGATTAGATTAGGAGGTGAGGCTTTGGAAGATGCTTGTTCCTCATCAGAGGGAGAGAGGGAAATGTTCTTCATGTGGTGAATTTGTGAAGACACGGCTGGTCCTGTGCGAAGCCAGGAGAGTCCATGCAGATAGTCTCTGATTCTATGATCATTCCTACTTTATATTAAGATGTAGGATTGAGAGAAGCTTTTGGAGATTTATTCTTTGGCTAAATTCTCTCAAAACTGGTGACGCTGTTTTTATTTTTCTTCAGGTGCTAGAATACTGAGTTCAGCTTGAAACAGATTCAAGTGCCCAATTCTTTCCTTTCACAAAACCCCTTCTATAGATCTGTTTTTCTTCAGGATAAGGTCATAGCTTGGCTTGGCTAAGCTCCTTCTTATAATTTACTTTTATTCATTGCTGTGTTTAATCAGTTTTGTTTTTACCCACTAGTATACACAAAATGATATTGTAATGGAAAATTGTGTGGCATTCTTGCCATTTATCTTGCATACAGTTCTTTGCTAATGAATTACTCTGGTGACTTCTCAGGAAGCAGATATGCAGGGGTTTTTTTTGCTTTTCTATCTTTATATAACATATGAGTTTGCAGGAATTTTGGGGGATTATGAAGAGATGTAAGTATGAATTCCAATGACAAGACCTTTAGAGTTTTATCTGCACTGTGTAATGCAAATGCTGTATTATTGGCTTTCCTTGCAGCAAGCAGGTAAGAACCTGTGCAGTCAAGCAAAATCTAGGCAAGGCAGTCTGCTCAGTGCAAGCACCACTCATCTATCTCTGCAGTTGTCTGTGCATCCTGCAGCAAAAGAGAAACAGGGACAGAGCACAACCAAATAAGAATGGTTAGGCAGATTTGCCACAGAAAGCAAGACTGGGAAAGGCAGGAGCAGAAGCAGGCAGTCATATATGTTCTTTGAGTGTGTTAAAAGAAGGAGGAGCATAGGAGACAGAGATGCTACTCTAACATGTTAACATGTATTAAATGCAGAATTGAAAAAAAGTTGAAAAAATAAAGTAGGCTTCCTAAAATTATAGGAAAAACAAATTGACCAGTCTACTTTATAGTGGGAATAATAACATTTTAAATTAATTTTAAGGATTTTTGCTATTTTAAATAACTTCTGAAATGTAAAGTATTTAGATTGCTAGAGAATTAATGTCTCTGAAAGACAGGAAGGTTGAAAGCACCATGTACATAAAGGCAAATAAATGAATATATGGAGAGTTTTAGTCTAATATGAACAAGGTAAATGCAAAAGCAAGCAATGTCACCCTAATTTCTATATTTTTCTACTCACGCTGTTTACTGCTAAATAAAGCCACTGAGATGCAAAGTATTGTGAATTTCCCCCTTAAAAAGTTATTTTCTCAGAGTTCTACCAATAGCAGTAATGCCTTTAAAGAGTACTACTGTTATGTTATGATGTTAAAATGGTTTTCTTGTTTGCTTGGCAGTTTTTTTTTTGGCTTTGCAGTTTTAGTAAAGCTGTCTTCATTCTTATAAGTCTAAAATACCATTAATGTTTGCTAGTCACATTTCCAACTGGAGTTAATACCTAATTATTGCAATTAAAGAAGAAATTGACTTAGAACATAAACCTCTATTATTATTATGACATCACTTAAAATAAGGAAAAAAGCTACCCTTAAATATCCACCGATTCTATGTTTTCAGTATTGTAATTATACACAATTTAAATGATTTTTATACTGCAATTTCACAAAAAAATATTTATCACAGCAGGGAAGCAAGGCAGAAACAAGCAAGCAAAAAACTTCCTCAGAATCTTATAACATGCTTTGGAATTTTACATGTACTAGAAGTGACTTCTTTAAACATGTAATACGAGTGATATTCCATCGTTTGAAAAAAATTATATCATGTGGATGTATTTCCTAAAATGTTTTATTTGTCACCAAATTAATATAAAATACAAATATAGAAGTTGAATTTACGAGTGTTAACCTCCTGTGTATTTTGCTGTTACTGCAAAATACAACATTAACGGGGAATTCTGCTATTAAATAGTTGGATTATGAAATAAATCTGAAATGGTGCTGAAGGAAAGAATGAACTGTAACTTTTCAACACCATAAGCATGTATTTAGCTACACAACTGGCATTTTATTGTAAATATGGATGTTGCTGAACCTTTGTATGCTACCCAGAAATTTCAAACTTGGGTTTCTGCCTCTTTTCACTATTTTAGATTTCAGTTTTATTTAGAGTTCACTATATTGCTTTCTTGTAGCTTGTGTTTAATCTTTGTTTTGGTTTGTTTACTTCTAAACATACTATCTTTGTATTTCCTTCTTTTAGAATATTGTTTAAGGACAAAGACAGAAATTGGGATGAAATTGAAAACAAGTTACGAGCAGAAAGTGAAGTTCCTATTGTGAAAACATCAAGTATGGTATGAATAGTTATCTTTTCTGGGGTAGAATGAGCCTTTTTCTCATCTAATTTTTAAGTAATAAGTAGAAGAAAATGCTGTTTTCACTGATGATGCTAACATCTGTAAAAGTTTTCACTTTGACATTATCTATTTCCATAAGGAACTTAATCTTTTTAAATGATTACTAAGACTTGCTATCTTAGAACCTCTCCTAAAGTAGCTGTTCTGAGGGATTTCTCAAAGAATAACGTAGAAGGATACAAACTATATACAGACTCCATTGGGCACTATTATTTAAAAGTAGGTAATAACAATCGGTTTGATTGCTGGTTTCTTTCAAATAAAGTTGTTTTAAAATTTTAATGCTAATTTATCTACTGTTTTCTCATATTTAAAGAAATATATTTTAATATATGGGAGTAAAACAAATTTGTAGACATACTGTAATAAAAGCGCTCTTCTAATCTGTGTTAATATTGTTCTGGAGTAATAACTATAGGGTACTGTAACTACAGGTAGAGTTTGTGCAGCATTCTGGCTGCGCCTAATTAGAGCTGCTTCATGACCAGACTGTGTGGCAGTGTGAGGGAGCGGATGGAGTATGTGTTATTTCCCAGTACATTTTGGCATTTGAGGCTTTTGCTTTTTTGCTTTTTATTCCTACAGTGCGTTAAAGCATCTCACGTTGTTTAAAATTGCTTAATCTATGCACTCATTTTCAAGTTTCTGCTTAGTTTTGAGAGTAATGTATCATTCGAATCCATACTAAAGCAGTGTTTGGATGTTTTTTTTAACCACAAAATCTTATGAGGAGTTACCAGAGGACAACTGCAGTTGATGTTTGCTTTGACCTTGGTACATTTATTTCCAGCTCAGATGAGGAATCTGCTTTAAGATAATGGCTTTGTAAAATCCAATGTAATCCATTTTTTTGCCACCCACAAAAATTCTCTGCTCTCTTCAGCAATCAGATTAGCAGCATTCTCAGGCAGGATCTTTCAGCTGTAGGATTTACATACTTATTCACTGCACCACGTTTTAGATCATATTGTAGCCTTTCTGACTGCATTGCTGTGGCTATGTCTGTGTTAGCAAGCAGCGCAGCTCAGAGGGCACTCCAAGGCAAATGAGTGCTGAGGACCCAGTGCTGGCACGGTGCAGACTCGCACAGTGGCCCAGTGATTGAAGACAAAATCTCAGCAGTGCAATCATCTTGCTGACTATTCTGACTCGCATCTAAACACGGTTACGAATCAGCTTGCCTACCCCATTAATATTGGGTTTATACTGTAACTCTGTAAATTTGCTGTCCGTTTGCCTTGTTTCTACACTACTGCGTAGTCAGTGCTTGAGAAAAAGTAGCATAGGCAAATAAGTAAGGGGTAAAATGAGCCATTGTTGATTTGGGAAATTGAACAGTCTAGAAGAATTCTTTATTTTCAAGAGGGCCGTCCTGAGCACTGGGACCCATGGTGCAAATGGCCTTGTCCCACCCAACAAGGGTGTTTTCAATGCAAGAAGGGATAACACAAATATCATATAACAGAATCTGGGGAGGGAACTTATTTGCTACTGATACACAGCTTGAATGTCTTTTTCCTTAATGAAGTAAGTCCTTGAGCTTTGGATATCTATTTCTTTCCTAGGAAATATCATCAATCTTACAGGAACTGAAACGAGTTGAGAAGCAGCTCCAAGGTACAGATCCTTTTTTACTCTTCTGTCATTGCTGTCTGTTTCCAGTTTCTTTTATTTATATGTATATAGCATGAAACAAGTCCAAATGTCACATCTTATTAAAATATGATCACAGTATCAGTTGCGTACATTACACCATATCATTACTAACACATCTGGTTAAGAAACATCACTGAATTAATTATATTAAAACAGAATACTGATATATTTTTATGTGGGTGAGAAAAGGCTTAACTTAAAGTGAAATAGTCCAGAGAATCCCAAAATAATTATTTGTGAAACTTCCTTAATAGATGCGTTTATGTGGCTAAATTTTGAAGAGTGGGTGCTAGCAAATCCTCATGACATTAATGCATCAGTACTAACTTTATGTATAGAACAACTCAATATAAGGAATGCACTGGGGCCACAGTCTATAGGAAACATTTTTAAAAATTTTATCTGACACCATAAAATGAAAATTTAGGATTGTTTCTTGACATCTCCCCTTCACATTATTGGATCTGTTCTCCATAATTGGAAAATCCATAGACTATGAAATAGAACTTTTTTCTTTGTTTTTCATTTTTCAAACCTTTCATCTGAAAAATGAAAAAAAAAAAAAAAGTGTTGACACAGTCTGCTCTTTAGGCATATATTGCATTTATCAAAATCAATTTAAAAATTGAGAATATTTTAAAAAGAGGACACTGATCTCCCTGGAAACTGATGACAGGACACACAGGAGATTTCAGGGGAGGTTCAGATTGGGCATTAGGAAAAGTTTGTCTACTTTGAGAGTGGTAGAACACTAGAACAAAATTCTTAGCAAGGTGGTTGATGACACATGCCTGTCAGTATTTGAGGGGCTGTCTTATTGGCCTGCAATCCTACTCCAGGTCCAGGGCATCCATTACCATTGTAGGCCTCAAAGTACAATTTGAGGATTTGAGGATCCTCACCCCAGGCAACTCTAGTTTAAAGCCCTCCTGAGTAAACTGGAAAGCTTGCTGCCAATGGTGGTCTTCCCCTTGTCTGACAGATGAAACCTATTCTTCTCCAGAAGACCAGATTTCACTAAATTAGTTCCATGACATAAGTAACCAAAGCCCTGTTCACAACACCACTCTTTAGACGTTTGTTTATTTTTTTTAAGTTCTGTTGGTCGGTTCCCCTAAACTGGAGGATTGATGAGAAAACTACCTGTGCTCCCAAGTTCTTCACTGCTGCTCTGAGCACCCTGTAGTCCCTATAGCGGATGTTCTTCAAGTTGCTGACAGCTGTGTCCCCGGTGCCTTTGTGGAACAGCAGCAGGAGGTAGTCTGTGGAACATACAAGGTCTGGCAGCCTCTCTGTCACGTCCTTGATGCAGGCCCCTGGCAAGCAGCAGACCTCTCTGGATAGCAGGCGGGGCTGTAAATGTGTGCCTCTGTGCCCTAGTGAGATTGTTTGTAGGCTTTTACTCTA